AATATATTCCGATCATAAGTTCCAGGTGTAAGCCTGCGATTCTCTTTGACGTGAATCGTGTATGTCTGGACAGTTAAGTCCGGACGTAGAGTAATGTCGGTATTATATGCCTCTTTGAAAACGAGACCCTTCGCAGCAGACTCCCAGCTGCTAAGCTGTAGATCCTGCTCCGACTCCTGCTTATCAAACGTAGCAAAGCTATTTGTCTTCAAAACCCGGGGGAGATTTTGCGTTACGTCATTGGCGTTCTCAGCCCACGATTCTGGAACTTCGAGGTGTTTGAGAGACTTGTCTAAAGCATCAAGACATTCTTCTAGAGTAGGAAGATTAGCTTCAAGCGTAGCCAACTTCTCTAGAATTTCTTGTTTAAGGTCGGGTTTTGCGATCTTGAGGAAAGCAAGCTCAACTAGTAGTCTGGCAGCATTGGAATCGGTCTCGAAAGCCGGAGACGAAGAAGAGTCCAGTATGTAAAGTGAGATGTCCCTCGCATGAACATCCTTGCGGATAGTAGAGGGTATCCGCTTTTCGACGTCTTCATCCTTGAAGTTGGGCAACCTTAGGATCAACTTGCCATTATCCTTAACGCTTTGAGACGCAGCAACCTCCTTCAGTAACTTCTCGTCGCCCACCAGGACGACGTCGGCGTCTTCAGCTGCGAAAGGTGCATCGATTGTGATTTTAGAGGTTCTTAGATCAGATCGAACAACGCCACCTTGCACTAAATTATCGTGGGATTCGTTGAAATAGACATTAGTAGTGGAATCTTGCGACAAAAGGCTGCCAACGACAGTTGGGGCAACGAGGGCAGCCGAATCATCGGTATCCCAAAATATGTACTGTTCTACAGACTCGAGCTGCGGCAACTGGATACTGGAGACCGGATTCTTAAGTGTAGCCTGAGTAACTGCAGCGGCAAAGCTGGACGGGGTAAACGCATGCGATGCTGGATACTTCACATCTGTAACAACGGGAGTCGAGTCCCATTTACTTGAAAATGAAACTGCGGTCAAGACATCCGAATACAAGATAGATTGGACTGAAGCGTCGGACACGGCGGGTTCGTTCGGGACTTGTCCCAGAACTGCGACATGTACGGTAGAAGCGGGGAGCGCCTTGATAAAGGCCTCTTCGATGAAGGGCCTGTAAATTCTGACGACAACGGCTCCCACCTTAATTCCATCGGCAGCCAACTTGGGCACGACCTGCTTGGCAAGTTGAGCTTCGACGCTACCGAAAACAACATAGACAGTTTCGGCGGCGTCGTGGCCGACATATTCGAACGGCTCGTAATCAGTGCCGAGCTCATCGTTGAAAGCCTGGAGGAGTTCTAAAACTTTACCAGCATTGTCGAGGCGGTTGTTCAAGGCTTCAGCTGTCTTAGAGATCTTCTTAAAGATCTCGGCGGTACCGGTTCGGCTCAAGGCATCGATAACTCTCAATGTCTCGCGGGATGTACGAACACCATCGTAAACATGAATAGTAGGTAAGATCTTAGCCATCAACGTAGCAAAGAGCGAGATGTGCTGTGCCTCATATGCGGAACCACTTGATATAAGACCCAGTCCGAGCTCTTCGGAAAGTTGCAGAGCAGTGCCATATTCCGCAACAAGACCTGCATCAGCAGCATAATCGGTAGCGGCTACATGGGCTACGAAGGGGCTCGCAACTCCATACAGTAAAGCTAACTGGTCTAAGGCCGAACGGAGGTGGCGCAAACTAAGCGATGGTGCCAACAGAGTTTGGGGAATATTTCTCTTGCTTAAATCGAAGTCTTTCGAGAAGATATAACCAAGGGCAAAAGCGCCAGCGCCGGAACGAGTCTGAAGAGGCAAGACAGTAGTAGGATATCCATGAATGTTCTTCTCTCCATTCTGAGCCCAATCCTTCACGGCAACATCGAGGTCAAATGTCTCAGGGGAGTATGAGAAGATCTTATCGGACAAGGTGTAGGCAATTTGTTGAACGAGCAGTTGGCCGGTGACATATGTAGGGCCGGATATCGAAGACAAGGATACGGGTTGACCGAAAGGCAGAGTCGACGACTGCCGGGTGAACTCGGCGCGGGAGGTTTTAGATTCCGGCATGGTTACTTGATCTGCCAAAGGGCCACCACTACCTTCGGTCTGCTTCAACTGCATTATAACGGGTTCTCTCGGGCTTTTTGGAAGCCAGAATTTGTAGGAATAGGAATTTGCAAATTCCTCCTGGAGGCGAGGGTACAGTAAATTAGACCAGGCAAAACCGTCACGATTTGACTAAGATCGGGAAAGCTCCAAGAGAATGGAAGGTTTATAAAGAGGCTTATAATTCGAATGGGTAATCAGACAAACACCAGGTATGACTGATCAAAGCCAGGAATGACCACTCTCCTTCTCAATGAAAGAGCACGATGAATACTTGGCGTAGGGTACCAGATAGCCTCACGACCAGCACAAAAAAAAAGAGACGGCTTCGAAAAGGAGACGATGCGGTTTTATTACTTCTAAAAGTTCCCCCGGGAAAAAGTAAAGGCTTAACCTACCTCCACGCCAAAGACGCTCCATACTTTTCCTGAACCCATTTTCGCTTCTTCGCCAACCAGCGGTTCTCGGTGGTGAAACCGGGCGGCGAACATGCGGGTGTCGAGGGAAAAGATGGCGCGAATAATTTGTTAAATCGCATTTAGATTGCGAGAATGCGCGATTCGTCTTTGTACAAGACGATCACGCAATACAGATCTAAGCTTTAATTAGCTTAGCGCATAAACGCATGCCATATTCCACCATTGAGATGCCGTAATTGAACCCGGCAACTGCTAATGAGCTAAACATGCCTTATCGATTCCCGGTCCGACAGTGGTGTGAGTAGGGGTCTTGGTTCTAGAATTCTTCCTTTGGATCAGTACAAGCGAATGGCGACTCGAATAAAAAAACTCGATTGATGGCAACATCATTTAGCATTCAGATGTCATTGTAGGTTGAATAGATCATAACTCCGATTACCGCTCAATTGATATTCATCCGAGTTACCTTGCCAAACGAGCCGCCAACAAACCTTTAACAAGTTCTATCAGAATTTACTTCATAAACCTATCAAATAATTCAATAAAATAGCCGCCATAAGTAAGGTACCTACCTAACTGTAGTTATTTCAACTACATCTTTACAGTTTGCTCCCGTCCTTAATTTGCGTATATGCATAATGCCAACCTTCTCCCTTCATGTCCTCTCTTACTTTGTAGTTGTCTTCTGCAATCTTCAGAACATTCATGTCCAGATCCACAATTGACATCCCTTCGGACCGGCCCATCTTCCCAAGGGAACCAATATGGGGAACGCTGACTTGACTCAACCCCGCGAAGCTAGTTTTCTCCCCCTTTTCCGGCGGTCCCCCCGCATTCGCAAACACGACCGCGCAGGTGTTCTCAAATGCCCGACTAATCACAGTGCTGTTCAAGAACAGCGCCTCACCATCAGGATTGAGGGCATATCCCTCATCTGAAACATCCTTCATACTCCAAAACGTAGGGACGCAGATGATTTGCGCACCGTCTGAGATTAGCTCCCGGAACGCCTCTGGGAACGCGATATCCCAGCAAATCAACAACCCCACACGTCCTAACGGCGTGTCGAAAGCCTCATGCGGTTGCTTAGCTGACGATACTAGATGACGACGTTCCGGATGCCAGAGATTTTTCTTCTGGTATCGCCCGAGTATCTCTCCATTTGAAGATATAAAGTATGCGATATTGTGCAGAGCCCCGCCTTCCAACTCAACGATCGTACCAGGCACGATGCAGATACTCAGCTCTTTGGCTAGCTGCTGGTACTTGTTCAAGTACAATGCTGAGTCTGCGCACGAATCCTTAAAATTTGGCTCATCCGGAACCCAGGAGGTAAGGTGGTACTCGGGTAGAACAGCTAAACTGCATCCTTCCTTAGCAGCATCTTTGATGAACGACTCAGCCTTGGCAAAGTTCTCTGCGGGAACGAGTGGCTATAAAAGAGTAAGCAATTAAGGTCTTATCAAAAATTCGTACAAGTATAACGCAGCCCAGTTATGACAACTCTTATCTGAGACATTTATACTCATCCTCTATACGGGGTTCATTTCAACTCCCGACAAATCTCATCAAGACTGCTTATATAGGAAGGATAGCACACCTTAGGATGCAGCTGTATGAGAGCTACTTTGTGAACCGGAGCCATCTTCAGCTTTTATAATTCGCCTAGAGTTATTAGTGTTGCAGGTTTAGGTTTCCGAGTGCATTCAATTAGCGTTTTATGAAAGATGGAGATAAACCACCTTCCGTCATATGTAACTAGAAGATTAAAGTACCGAGATGTTATGTAATCACCACGTTATATGAATAAATACCTAATATAACTATTCATACACTTCTCACACGTACGCATCTATCTCTTCGGCCTGTCCATTTGATAGTTACTATTTCAAGAATTAGTTTTCTAGGAGCTACTTTTTTTGAATACCCCCCTGTTAAAAAACACCCGGTTTCGTCCCCGAAATAAGATGATACTATCCATTACAATATGCCAAGCCTTTATCATGCCCGACAGCCGAACCGCAATGGGACGGTGTCTACGGCTAGGATAGACCTCACACCCCCGAAAGTGTGATACAGAATGGCTTAGAAGCGAACCAACGGCGCCTCAGTAGGCGGCCCCCGAACACCAATTTTACACCGAACACGAGCTCACCCGGAGGAGCCAACGGGAGCGGCTGGAACATCATCATGTGTGCCTTTTAAGGTTAGATTTGCAGGATATTAAAAGACCAACAACACAGTATGTACATAGACAGATACTTTGTATATTAGTTTTTAGATAGCTCTGCACGCCGCATACCCCTAGGGAGGTTTGCGAGGGCTGGTCCTTCCCCCTCGCCCCGGCGTTAAATATACCAACCAACCAACCAACCAAGCCTTTATCATGAGGCTAAAAGGTGAGTACGGCGCCGCCAACATACATCTTATTCGATTACATTAAACCTGAATTCGGGCTGTTGCCTTCTAGGAGACTCAATTTCTGCCTAGCATTTTCATATGTAAAAGTATTAACCCTTAATCTAGGATATCACCGAAACTTTCAGTTCCATTCTCGATTCTACTAGCTATTATAAATAAACAGCTTCAGTCACAATGATGTTGATATTTTCTCTACCTTTCATCTTATTCCTCTCCTTTTCCGCAGCTACCACCACCACTACCGGTGTGTGTTCACCTGTGATGTGGCAAGGCACCGGTACCGCGACCCTTAGAACGGGCCCTCCTAAGCCCCAGCATACCCGTAGTGTAGTCCGTACATCGCCTATCAAACCCGGCGAAATTAACTGTCGCTATTGGGGCGGAACATACGATGAAGTCGATAAATCTGCTTGTACGAAGCTAATTCAGAAATATCGAATCACCGGGTTATAATCCGGAAGTGACCCATAGACGCACTCTGGATCATCGGGATCCGCATGACGCTCATGGTACTCGAACCAGTCATCCTCCCATTTACCAAGTTGGTAAACCCGTACCGTGATAGATGAGACCCCCGGCTAAGTGATTGGCAGCTGCGATATCGGATGCCAGCTAGTGCCCGCAAGAGTCTGTCGGAAGTAAGCTTCTCAACCTAGATCCGGGCTATACTCACCCTCTAGAACCCAGACTGAAGTTTCTAGAGGCCCGTTCAAAGTCCAAAAGAGGCGAGACATATCACGGACAAAACGCGCGTGATTCCCAGCACTACGAAGGGACTCGAAAGAGGGGGGTGTTTCTCTTGTATTAGGGGTTGACATTGCTAGTAGTAACAAGCGAGCCTCGGCTTTAGAATACACTGGAAAGGGGTAGCGATGAGAATCGGTGATTTTTAATCGTATAGGTTATGATAAATGAAGCCATATTCTGCTCAAATACGTTTACTCATTTTTCAGTAGAAGCTGCTGATACGAGTACCCAATAAAACAAATTCTCTATTAGCATGTACCGCATTGCTAGTCTTAATTAGGTTGCAGTGTAGTAACCTGCTATAAACCTGATAACTTGCCTCCTTTATCTAACCTTTGTCATCAATTTCAATTTCTAACATGATATTGTGTCGCAATCTAAAATGGCGACGCCGCCGATTGCAAGCATGCAACCAGGGCTTATATGTTTGACATATTGTCAATAAGAAATCATTGTTACACTACCATTGATTTATATTTGCTGCGGTAGTATTAATTGCTATAGCTACCTCCAATCCCCCAAGCCTGCCACGGCACTATATGAAACTATGCTTCTTTTCGCCATGTCATGATCCTTTTCCTGAACAAATCTTCAAAATCTAATACGAGCTCCAGGTGGAGTAGTAAACCCGATATCCCTCCTAGTGTTGTCAACTGTACAGGCGATATCTCGAAGTATTCTCTACCAAAGCAGTAGAATCTTTTGGGACCCGGACCGATGGATGCTTTTGCACCATAACCGGTGTCGTAGTTCTCTTCTGCGAAATACTGAAGTCCTACAGCCGCAACACTGCGGTCATACCGCCAGCTCATCTTGACTGCTTCAAGCTGTGAAGGATCAACCACAATGTACAACACCAACATATCCGGAAAGGCTCTTAGCACTTCTGTGACGTAGTCAAGATAGGATAAAGTTGGCCTGTTCATTGGTATAGCGACATAGCGGACTCCTGCTTGTTTGAGGAATACGTAACGATGACTATGACGCAGGACCATGCGGCTCCAATAAGCATCTAGAATGACGAGATCTGATGAAGCGTCGAGTCTGACACCAGGGAAACCCTCTGTGGCGGGGTTGTATTGGGTTGAGCCCATTACGGTATCGTTGGGCCCCATGAACTGCGTCCGGGAAACGGCTAATTCCAAGAGGCGAGTATGCTGGTGTCTTTGGCGATAGCGGGTCACTGCCGCCCGTGATCCTTGGCAGGTTTGCAACAGCGTATCTATATCGTTCCAAGGAGGTAACGTGGAAGGGAACTTATGTGACGGACAGAGGCGTTTGAATATGATTTTTGAGTGATCAACCTCTGTACCTGAATCCTCCTCTCTCGGATCTTTTATCTCTTCAATTCCAAGGAAGTAAGCCGTAGGTGGTCGCGTTTCGAGGGCTAGGGTCCAAATTTCGTCTTGAATCTCCTGCGAAAGGCGCGAAAAGAACGGGAAGTAGGCTTGATGATCCATCTTGGATATGATAGATTTAGAGGAGCGAAATACGTTTCTTGCTGAAGACCTCTTCGTCTTTTGGTTGCCGATAATGATGTCCTCGCAAACGCAAAGGTGATATGTGTTTAGTTGATTTCTCTACCCGTCTGGGTAAGGTTATGTATGTTGGGGTTGCTGTGATGATGATTAAGAACCGTTGTGGTGTACTTAATATGACGGTGTTGGGACTGAAGCTTGGCACCTTCTAAAATGATGTTGTAAAGAGGAAGAGAAAAGCTCTCATAGGATGATGCAAAAAAAAATATCTTATGCTACTTCGAGGACTCTTGGCAACTGCCTTACATGTTTATGAGGTTATATCAGGTACCTGGGTACGTTAGTCAAACAACTCATGTTACGTGACTCAAGTATCCACATTCACGTAGCAGTATCACAGCTGGAAGGTACACGTAATGAGTCAAGATCTCAATCAGGGAAGGCACAATGTGTACGTCCACGTAAGCGTCTTATTTGTTTATATTTATATAGAAAGACCCTCACTCTCATACCTTCTCATTTACTACTTATGAAGAACATCTAGGAGAAAAATCCAATATTAGGAATAAACCATAATGCAAGCACTTACTACTATATTCACAGCGCCATCGTGGTGCTTGACTAGGTTCGCGGTATATATCGACAATAATCCCTTTCATTCGAGTACCCTATCTCCCACAAGGGGATGGGTCGATCCGTCCTTCTCGAAATGTGTGCCAAGCCAGTATACCGACCAACTACAAACCCTTAGCCCCGGTGTGTGTCCAAATTATATGAGCATCGCAAGATCCGACTACAACGTGAATGATGGAAGAACTCTCTGGACTGGAGGATGTTGTCAAAGGTTCAGGTGCTCTAATTCTTGAGTGATAGCGTATCTAATAGGTAGTTGTAGCGGGTTCTCCGACATGTCCGGGTATTTTTGTACCTCTACCGTTACTACGCCCATGGCCTTTCTTCTCTTGCCGAACATTACTACGACGGACATCTATACCACACTTTCTGATATGTGGATAGAGCACGGCCAGATAACCGTTGAGTGGCAAGAGACCGATCTAAAGGATTTCCCAACGGAGATCATGACAAATTATGAGTCAATCATGGGAATCACGCTCGCTACTACAGATAAGAGTTCTACCTCGACAGTTACAACTCATTCCGTCAGTGGAAGGACTTCGAGCACTGTAGCAACGTCAACATCAGCTACCACCGCCTCTACACTTACTGTTATTCCAATGGATACATTGGAACCAACGAGTGGGCCAATTGAGACGCTTGCTATAACCTCAACACATACGCAGTCGTCGTCTGTACCTTCAAGCGGTGGTTTTGGGCATCCATGGCGGATTTTAAGCTCATTTATCGTGTGCTTGGTATGTTTCTGGACGATTTAACGGCTGAAGAATGAATGCGAGAGGGTGACGGTTATAAAATTGATAAACATAAATGTTGGCTTCGTCATAGTAATTGTAGAGGGTTGGGGAAGATATGCCTCCTTAAAAAGGCAATAGCAGACAATCTAGTTATTTCCCATTAATTCAGATTGCCTCAATTTATACGATCAATTCAGTAGCATTACACCTAATCCTAAGTTCTATAATAATTCTAAAGTGTTGGAGTGGCAACAGTGTTGCCGTGTATTACGTAATACGAAAGGTAGGAAATAACAAGGTAATTCGAATAGAGTGGTCTGATTGGTTGTATTCAATTAGGTAAGGAAAGTGGGAGATCTACCAAGTAGGGAATATCTATTTACATGTACAAGAGGGCACCCCTGTGGGATGCCACAATAGCCCGAATTTATTGCCATTACTCTTTGAATACCCTCACCCTTAGCGCCCTCGTCTCGGCACCCAAGAGAAGGGCTCGGCACCCAGGCCAGGAGAAGGGCTCGGCACCCTCACCCTCAGCACCTTCAGCACCCTGGACTTAGCACCCTCAGCACCCTGGACTCAGCACCTAAGAGAAGGGCTCGGCACCCTGGACTCAGCACCCAAAAGATAGGCTCGGCACCCAGGAGAAAGGTGTAAAAAAAAAAAAAAAAAAAACACGTGTGGGATTCGAACCCACGTTTTATCCAAAAAAGATAGGTATGTATTTTGACTTTTCTTCGAAAGTGGGGAATCTGGTAAGACCCGTTATTTTGGAGGATGCACCCAATAAAAAGCTCCGAAAGGCCGCGCACAGACGAACTTTTTATTGCGAAAAAGAAAGCCTGTGACAATAACATGAGGGCATCCCTACGGTGCGCCACAATAGCCTAAGTTTACGAAAGTGGTTAATTACGTAATATTATTGCTGAAAAAAATATATTGCGTATTTTTTTTTAAAAAAAAATAAAAAAATAAAAAAATAAAAAAAATATTAAAATAATTTAAATAAAATATATAAAATTATAATATATTATATTAATATATATTTAATTTTTTATATAAATTTATTAATATATATTTATATTATAGTTTTTAATTTTTAATTTTTAATTTTTAATTTTTAATTTTTAATTTTTAATTTTTAATTTTTAAAATTTTTTTTTAAAAAAATATACGTTTTTTATTAATAAAATTTTATAACGTTTATTTTTATTTATTTAATTATATTTATAAATTAAAATAAAATAAATAAATAAATAAATAATAAAATTTAATAAAATTAAATTGTTTATTTAAAAATAATAATAATAATAAATAATTTAAAAAATATTAAAAAAATAGTTTTTTTTAATATAAAATAACCGTTTTTTAAATTTAAAAGTTTAAACGGTTTTTTCGGAAAATTTAACGGATAAGTTTTTTTTTTTTACTTTTTTTTAATTTTTTAATTTTTTTAATTTATAATTTTTATAATAAAATTTTAAAATAAATTAAAAATTTATAATTATTTTAAATAAAAAAAATATTAAAATAATAATAATATTATTATATATTATATAATATAAAAAGTAAAAAATAATTAAATAATTTAAATAAAATGGTTTAATTAATTATATTAAATTAAATAAAAAAGTAAAAAAATTATTAAATAAAAAAATATTTATTTATATATATATAAATTAATTTTTAAATAATATGTTTAAATATAATTTTAATTATATAATATAATTATATAATTAATATTTTATTAAAAAAATTTATATAATTTTTAATATATTAAATAAAATTATTAATTTTAAATAATAATAAAAATTAAAAATTAATTAATATTTAATTATAATTAAATTTATATAAAAATAATATAAATATATAATTATAAAATATATTTAAATTAAAAGTTTATTTAATTATTAAAAAAAATTAATTTATTTAAAATATTTAATATTTTATTAAATAAAATAATTATTTATATTATATTATTAAAAATAAAATATTGAATTTTGTTTTAAATAATAAAATATAATAAAATATATAAAATTAATATTTATTAAAAATATATTATTTAAATATTTTTAAATTAAAAAATAAATATTATAAAATATATTTTAAATTAATTTAATTTTTTTTATTTTAATTTTTTTAAAAAAATATTATATTTAAATTTTTTTAATTAATAAGGTAATTAATAAAATAATTAATAAATAAATATTAAATAATTAATAAAAAATTTATATATATTTATGTAAAAAATATCTAAAAATTAATAAAGTTATTAATAAAATCCCGATAAATTAATAAAATTTAATATTTATAAATTTAATTAATTATATTTCGTATTATTTTTATATTATTTAAATATTTTTATTAAGTATATTTTTTTTAATTTTTACACTTTAAAATTAATTAATTAAATATATTTTTTTTAATTTTTATACTTTAAAATTAATTAATTAAATATATTACTTTTAATCTTTATATTAGTAATATATTTTAATTAAATATATTTATTTAATACTTTTAACTTTTATATATAGTTTTACAATTATATGCTTACATAATTAACCAAAATAATAATAATTTTATAAATAATTAATTTAAAAAATAACCAATATTTAAAAATAAAATAAAAATAATATAAAAAATAATAAAAAATAATAAAAAATAATAAAAAATAATAAAAAATAATAAAAAATAATAAAAAATAATAAAAAATAATAAAAAATAATAAA